CAGTGTGGACAAGTCTGAAAGTTAAAAACTCCAGAGGAACCCAGTCACAGGGGTTCTCCCTAGTTTTGTGGCTTTTACCTCCAAAACTTGCCCAGATTTTCACAGTAAATATCAGGGATGTTGGAATTTACAGACCAAGAATCAGGAACAACTAAGATTAATATGTTAAAGGCTCTAATGGAAAAGTAGACAATATACAAAAACAGATAGGCAATAATAAGCAGAGATGGAAATTCCAAGAAAGAATTTTTAAAATGCCAGAGATCAAAAGCATTGTAACAAAAATGAAAAATGCTTTGATGGGCACATTAATAGACTAGACATGGCTGAGGAAAGAATCTCTGAGCTTAAGAATAAGTCAGTGGAAACTTTTAAATTTGAAAAGGAAAGGGAAAAAAAGACAAGAAAATGGATTAGAATATCCAAGAACTCTGAACAACTACAACAGATGTAATATATGCATCATGGGAATACCAGAGGGAGAAGAAGAGAAAACAGAACATTCAGAACATAATGACTGAGAATTTCCCACTGAATCATCCCTTTGTCAGACATAAAGAGGGGAACTATATAATGATAAAGGGTCAATTTTCCAGGAAGATAACAATCTTTAATGTGTATGCATCTAACAACAGAGCTTCAAATTACACAAAGCAAAAACTGATAGAGCTGCAAGGAGAGTTAGACATATCCATTATTATATATAGAGGTTTTGACATCCCTCTATCAAAAGTGGACAGACTTAGCAAACAGAAAATATTAATAGTGAGGACATAGTTGAACTCAAAAACGTCATCAAACAATTGTATATAATTGATATATACAGAATATTTAATCAAATAACAGCAGAATACATATTCTTCTCAAGTTCACCCAGAACATTTACCAAAATAGGCTATATTCTGGCCATAAAGCAGAGCTAAACAAATAAAAAGAATAAAATCATATAATATCTGTTTTCAGACCTCAACAGAATTAAACTAGAAATCAAAGACAGACAAATCTAAAAGTCAGTTCAGTTCAGTTGCTCATTTGTGTCCAACTCTTTGTGACCCCATGGACTGCAGCACGCCAGGCTTCCCTGTCCATTACCAACTCCTGGGGCTTACTCAAATTCACATCCATTGAGTCGGTGATGCCATACAACCATCTCATCCTCTATCGTCCCCTTCTCCTCCAGCCTTCAATCTTTCGCAGCATCATGGTCTTTTCAAATGAGTCAGTTCTTCACATCTGGTGGCCAAAGTATTGCAGTTTCAGCTTCAGGATCAGTCCTTCCAATGAATATTCAGGACTGATTTTCTTTAGGATGGACTGTTTGGATCTCCTTGCTGTCCAAGGGACTCTCAAGAGTCTTCTCCAACACCACAGTTCAAAAGCATCAGTTCTTTGGCACTCAGCTTTCTTTATAGTCCAACTCTCACATTCATACATGACTACTGGAAAAACCATAGCCTTGACTAGACAGACCTTTGTTGGCAAAGTAATGTCTTTGCTTTTTAATAAGTTGTCTAGGTTGGTCATAGCTTTTCTTCCAAGGAGCAAGCGTCTTTGAATTTCATGGCTGCAGTCACCAACTGCAGTGATTTTGGAGCCCAATAAAATAAAGTCTGCCACTATTTCCATTGTTTCCCTATCTATTTGCCATGAAGTGATGGGACCAGATGTATGATCTTAGTTTTCTGAATGTTGAGTTTTAAGCCAACTTTTTCCAAAATCTAAAAGTACTTGGAGATTAAATAACACACTTCTAAATATCACATCTCAAAGGAAAAAAAATCTCAAAAGGGGTTTAAATATAGTTTTAACTACATGAAAATGAAAATAAAACATAAAAAGTTGGAAGTGCAATAGCAGAAGTACTGAAAAGAAAATTACAACATTTAATACATATATTAATAAAAGAGAAAAATCTATGGTCAATAATCCAAGATTCTTATCTAAGAAAGTAGAAAAAAAGCAAATTAAATTAATAAAAAAGAAGAATAAAAACAATAAAAAATTAGAGCAGAAACCAATGGAATTAACAGGAAATCAATAGAGAAAAATCAACAAAACCAAAAGCTCAATAAAATCAATAAGCCTGTATCTAGGCTAACTGAAAAAAAAAGACAACACACACATTACTGATATCAGAAATGAAAGAATAGCTCCCCACTGGAAACCACTGGTTACGATCTTTGAATCTGTTTCTGTCTTGTTATATTCATTTGTTTTATTTCGGGGATTCCACATATAGGTAGTAACATGTGGTATTTGTCTTTCTCTATTTGACTTATTTCAGTACTTATTTATTTATATCAAATAATTTTCCTTCTTTCTTTTTTCCAATTTCTTAAAACAATTTGGTTTTAATCTCCTCTAATTCTGCTTTAAAATTTCTCTTCCTTAAAATTTCCGTTTCTCTCTCTCCATTTTTCTTATTTCACTGTAAGACTAAAAGTCAAATTATCCTTTTTTCTGCTATCACTACTATTACATTTTAACATTTATTTTTTTTACTTGCTATCTAAGATATTTGAAGTCTTCTAATAGAAAATAATAATAATAAAATTATAAATAGATATATGTGTTTCAAAATCACTTTCTGATGTTTTAGTGTTTCTTATGATGTCTGTAATTTTTGTACATAGGAATATAAAGTATGTAAGACAAAATGAAAAGTGATACTGAATAAGGGAGCCAGATTAAATTTTTTTAGTTTAGAAAAGAAATAAAATAAAAGACATTATTATAGGCCCTGTTGATAAAGGGTAGTAAAGGAATATTATGAGCAATCCTATGCTCTTAAATTTGATAAACTAGATGAAATGGACTGATTCCTTGAAAGGCACAAGTTGTAAAAACTCACACAAGGAAAAATAGTCTGCAAAAATCTATATGTATTAAAGAAGTTAAATCAATAATTAATAAACTCCCAATGCAAAATGCACCAGGCCTAAATGAGTTCACTAGTAGGTTCTACAAAACATGTAAGGCAGAAGTTACACCATTTTCTATGATTTCCTCCTGAAGATAGAAGTAGAAGAAATATTTCTTAACTCATTCTATGAAGCCAGCATTACCCTAATACAAAAATCAGGCAAAGATTATAAGAAGGAAAACTATAAACCAGTATCTCTTAGGAACACAGATGCAAAAATCTTCAACAAAATATTAGCAAATTCAATCCAACAAAAATAAAAAGAATTACATACCCCAACCAAGTGAGATTATCCCTAATATGCAAGGTTGATCCAGCACTGGAAAACAATTAATGTAATCCATGCAACCAAAAGCCTAAAGAAGAAATTTTATCAGTAGATGCAGAAAATGCATTTGACAAAATCCAATATCCATTCATAATGAAAACTCTCAGCAAACTAGAAATAGAGAAGAGCTTCTTCAACTTGATTAAAAAAACATCTAAAAACTTACAGCTAATATTATACTTGATGGTGAAAAACTAGAAATTCTTCCACTAAAATGAAAACCAGGTATGTCCTCTCACCGTTCCTTTTCAACATCATACTGGGAGTCTTAGCTTTATAAAACCTAGCTTAACAAGGTAAGTCCTAGCTTAATAAGGCCTAGCAATAAGACAAGAAAAGGAGATAAAAATTACACTGATTGGGAAGGTGAAATAAAATTTTGTTCACAGATGACATGATTGTCTATGATTGCTTACTAGGTAATTGACCAAAAAACTCTTGAATCTAATAAGCAATTATAGTAAGGTAACAGGACACAAGGTTAATATATAAAAGTAAGTCACTTTCGTATATACTAGCAATGACCAAGAGGAGTTTGAAATGAAGGATACATTGCACTGACATTAACTCTCCCCCAAATGAATTATTCAGATGAATTATATATTCAAGTGAATTATAATCTAACAAAATATGTACAAGATCTATACAAGGAAAACCACAAACTCTGATAGAAGAAATCAAAGGAAGAATAAATAAATGGAGAGATATTCCATGCTCATAGGATAGAAGCACTCAATATTATCAAGATGTCAGTTCTTTCCAACTTGATGTATAGATTAAATGTAATCATGATCAAAACTCCATCAGACTTTGTGAATATAGATATACTGATTCTAAAGTTTATATGAGAAGGCAAAAACCCCAGAATAACCAACACAGTTATGAAAGAGAAGAATAAAGTCAGATAACTGACACCACGGAACTTCAAGACCTACGACAAAGGTGCATAGTTAAGACAGTGTAGTATTCATGAAAAAATGGACAAAAGATCAATGGAACAGAATGTAGAGCCCAGAAATAGAATCACATTCAACTGATTTTTGACAAAGGCATATATACACTGGAGAAAAGATACCCTTTACAATAAATGGTGCTGGAACATATGGATATCCACATGAAAAAAAATAATCGAGACATCTTACGTCCTTCATTAGGCCTTATACTTGCCTCAAAAATTAACCCAAAATGGATCAAAGCTTTAAATGTAAAATGCAAATGTAAAGAACTCTTCAAACCCAACAATAAGAAAATGAACAACTCAATTTAATTCCAAGGGAAGCAAAGCAAAGAGAAGGTTGGGGGCCATGGTTTACAGGCCAATAGGCTAGTGGAGATCTCCAGCCTCCCCCCAGAGCTTCACCTAAGGTCCACATGGGTAAGCATCATTGGATTACTGTTGGATCCCAAGTGTCATGGATGATGCCTTGTACATAGCAGACTTTCCAAGATGGCGAGGGAGTAGGACATGGGAGTAGGAGAACATCTGTCCACATAAATGCATCAAGAAGACATCTACAAATGGAATAATTCTCACAGACCCTCTGCTGAGCACTAGCAGAGGACCTCAGATACCCCAAAGCACAAGAAAGATCTCTATATAACCCCATAGGACAAAAGAAGAAGAAAGGAAAATGAAGAGGAGATGAAGCAGGATAGAACCTGCACCCCTGGCAGGGAGCTAAAGGTGAGGAGAGGTTCCTGCATCTAGATGAGTCCCCTCTCCAGCAGGGGGATGGCCAAAGAGGAGCCTCAGGGACTCAGAAGCAAGCCCCGCAGCTGGTTTGCGGCCGACAGGACAGAGTGAGACCTACGCAGATGGTCCGTGCCGCGGGCCTGCACACCCGTCTGAGATGGGTGTCGGTGCACGCCAGGCCTGGGTGCTGGAATGTGCAGTTTGGAGGGCAGACCCAGAGAGGGCACTGCTCTTGTCTGCGGAGAGACAGCCTGAGAGAATGAGTGTGAGGGGCTCCGCAACCAGGAATGCTCGCGGGGGAAGCGCGGACCGCCACAGAAGGGAAGCACCATGTGGAGTGACTTGGGAAGGGTGTGGCCACCATTGCAACGTCTCTCCTCACACACTCCGCCGGCATTAGGGAGGGACCCCGCCAGAGCCAGCTCCCACGCCCCTGTCATCGCCTCCTCCATCTCCGCCCTCTCCCCCACCAAGCTGGGTGACATGCTCGCCCTGATCACCACCTACATGCCTATCCCCACCACAGTACTCTCCTGCCTGGGCCGGCTGCACGCCCCATTTGCCACCTTGGTTTCTTCCTGCCTGACGGGCTCGTGTCTCCTGGCGACCTGTGAAGCAGGCTTCTGTTTCAGAGCTGTGTGGGAGGGACATACCGCACACCTCACAGAGGTGAGGCTGAAACCACAGCTGAGCCCAGGGGCCATGTGACTTCAGTCTCTCCTCACAGAGAGGAGTTACACCTCTGCTGCTGGCGTCCCAAATTCAGCACCTGCGAAATACTCCAAAGGGCAAAAAGTGCTCCTGCAGGTGGGAAAGGCCTGGCTTTAGCCGCTGTGGGCTTGGCGGGCGTGTACGCATGGGAGGTGGGCCAGGCTAGAGTCTGAGGTGCCGCCATAGCTCCCACAGTGGGCTCAAGTACACAATTACTGCAGTCCTGGGACCCGACCCCAGTGATTCTGGTGAAAACAGCACCTGAGAGGCAGCAGGGCCGGTTTCCAGCATCCTCCAAGTCAAGGTGGAATCAAGAACAGTGCCTACCACAGTGGACTTGGTCAGCCCACCCAGAGGGTGAAAGGGCCACAGCAGGGCACATTCACGGGGGAGCAGCTGTAGAAGAAGAATACTCAGGGCTTCTCTCCCAATGCGAGTGCTCCAATCAGCTTACCTCGTACCACAGATCAGAATCACAGCCTAGAAACACATCTGGGGGCTCTAATCCAACAGCTGGGAACAGACCCCATTCCTGAAAGGACAGTGACAATCGCAGAGCAAAAGGGAGGCCCTGCTCAGTAATCGGGGCAGGCTCTGATCACCACAACATCGATATCCCGCCTCGTATCATGCGTACAAGCCTCTAAACCAGCCTCACCTACTCGGGGGCAGAGGCCACAAGCAGGAGAAACCAATCCAGCAGGCTATGGAGAAAAGAGACCGCAAACACAGGAAGTCTGACAAAATGAGATGGCAGAGAAATACGTTGCTGCCGAAGGAGCAAGATAAAAGCCTACAAGAACAACTAAATGAAGAGGAGATAGGCAATCTACCTGAAAAAGAATCCAGAGTAATGATAGTAACGATGATTCAAGATCTTGCAATAAGAATGGAGGCATGGATTGAGAAGATACATGTTTAACAAAGGTCTAGAAGAACTAAAGAACAAACAGACAGAAATGAGGGATACAGTCACTGAAATAAAAAAATACACTAGAGGATTAATAGCAAAAGAACTGAGGAAGAAGAACACATAAGTGACCTGGAATATAGAATGGTGGAAATGTCTGCCATGGAACAGAATAAAGAAAAAATAATGAAAAGAAATGAGGACAGTCTCAGAGACCTCCGGTATATCATTAAATGCACCAACATTTGAACTATAGGGGTTTCAGAAGAAAAAGAAAAAGGGTCTGAGAAAATATTTGAAGAGATTATAGTTGAAAACCTCCCTAACACAGGAAAGAAAATCATGAAGTCCAGGAAGCATAGAGAGACCCATCCAGGATAAACCCAAGGAAGAACATGCTGAGATACATATTAATAGAATTCACAAAAATTAAATACAAAGAAAAAATATTAAAAACATCAAGGGAAAAGCAAAAAATAACATGCTAGGGAATCCCTATAAGGTTATCAGCTGATTTTTTAGCAAAAATTCTGCAGGCCATGATATATTTAAAGTGATGGGAAAAATCCACAACCAAGAATACTCCTTCAGTAGCTATGTATGGATAAGAAGTGGATCATAAAGAAGGCTGAGGGAAGATTGATGCTTTCAAACTGTGGTGCTAGAGAAGACTCTTGAGAGTCCCTTGGACAGCAAGAGGAACAAACCAGTCAATCCCAAAGGAAATCAACCCTGAATATTCATTGGAAGGACTGGTGCTGAAGCTGAAGCTGCAATATTTTGCCCACTTGGTACGAAGAGCTGACTCATTGGAAAAGACCCTGATGCTAGGAAAGATTGAGGGCAAGAGGAGAAGAGGGTGAGAGAAGATGAGATGGTGGGGTGGGGGTGGGGGGCAGAATAAATTGGGATACTGGAATTGACATATATACACTACTGTATATAAAATAGATAACTAAAAAGGGCCTTCTGTATAGCATAGCAAACTCTACTCAATACTCTGTAATGGTCTATATGGGAAAGGAATCTTTAAAAAGAGCAGATATATGTAAATGTATAACTAATTTACTTTGCCATACACCTGAAACAAACACAACATTGTAAATCGACTATACTCCAATAAAAAAATTTCAAAATAAATTTGTTATAAAAATATGCCAAAGACTTGAACAAACACTTCACCACAAAAGACACACAGATGGTAAATAAGCATCTTACCATGAGAAGATGCTCCACACTATTAGGAAAATGCAAATTGAAATCATAAAACTTTGTTTATAGTGGAATAGTCTAATAGTTCCACTACACAGCTATTAGAATAACCAAAATCTAGAACGCTGACAACACCAAATAGTGATAAGAATGTAGAGCAATAGGAACTCTCATTCATTACTGGCCACTTTGTACAGCCACTTTTGTGGACAATTTGAAAGTTTCTCATACCACTAAACACTCTCTTATCATATGATACAGCAACCACACTCCTTAGTTTTTACCCAAATTACTATAAAATTGTGTCCTCACAACCCCTTGCACAAGGATGTTTATAGCAGTTTTATTCACAATTTCCAAGACTTGGAAGCAACTAGATGTTCTTCAGTAGGTGAGTGGAAAAAGAAACTCTGGTACATGCAAGCAATTGAACATTATTCAATTCTAAAAAGAAATGGTCTATCAAGCCATCAAAAGACATAGAGGAATCTTAAATGTATTATCAGTAAGTGAGAGAAGCTAAAAGGCTACATACTATATGATTCCAACTATATGACCTTCTGAAAAAGGGAAAACTGTCTTCATAGACAGTAAAAAGATCAGTACTGGAGGATATGGATGAGACGGATAGGTAGAGCACAGAGGATTTTTAGGGCAGTGAAATCATTCTGGATGATACTTTAATGGTGGATATATGACACATATATCAAACTCATAGAATGTACAACATAAAGAATGAACCCTAATATAAACTATAGTCTTTGCATCACAATATGCAGTTCCAGTTAATCAGTTGTAACATATACCATTCTTTTGTAGGATTTTAATATTGGGAGAGGCTGTGCATATGTGGGAGCAGACTATATATGGGGAATCCGTATATGGAATACCTTCCACTAAATTGTGCCCTGAATCTAAAACCATTCTTTAAAAAATCAATTTTAAAAAGAAATTTTATTCTATATAATTTTCATTAAAGATGAATATATCATAACCACCCAAAGTCCATAGTTCACCTTAGGATTCACTCTTGGTGTTGCATATTGTATGGGCTTGCGCAAACATATACTGTCATCATGATAGAGTATACTCACTGCCCTAAAAATCCTCTGAGTTCTTCTTACTCATCTATTACCACCTGCCCCCAGCCAGCACTGATCATTCTACTGTCTCCATAGTTTTGCCTTTTCCAGAATGTCTTATAGTTGGAATCATATGCCATGTGGCCTTTTCAGATTGGCTTTTCCTTCACTTAGTAGTACACATTTAAGTTTCCTCCTTGTCTTTTCAAGGTTTGACAGCTCACTTTTATTTTTTAACATTGAATCATATTCATTTGTCTGAATGTACCAGTTCATTTATCCTCTCTTCCACTGAAAGGCTTCTTGGTTGATTCCAAGTGTTGGTTATTATGAATTAGTTCAGTTCAGTCACTCAGTCGTGTCCAACTCTTTGCGACCCCATGGACTGCAGCACACCAGGCCTCCCTGTCCACCACCAACTCCCAAAGTTTACTCAAACTCATGTCCATTGAGTCAGTGATGCCATCCAATCATCTCATCCTCTCTCGTCCCCTTCTCGTCCCACCTTCAATCTTTCCCAGCATCAGGGTGTTTTCCAAAGAGTCAATCCTTTGCATCAGGTGGCCAAAGTATTGTAGTTTCAGTTTCAGCATCAGTCCTTCCAATGAATATTCAGGACTGATTTCCTTTAGGATGGACTGTTTGGATCTCCTTGCTGTCCAAGGGACTCTCAAGAGTCTTCTCCAACACCCCAGATCAAAAGCATCAATTCTTCCGTGCTCAGCTTTCTTTATAGTCCAACTCTCACATCCATACATGACTACTGGAAAAACCATAGCTTTGACTAGACAGACCTTTGTTGGCAAAGTAATGTCTCTGCCTTTTAATATGCTGTCTAGGTTGATCATAATTTTTCTTCCAAGGAGCAAGCGTCTTCTAATTTCATGGCTGCAGTCACCAACTGCAGTGATTTTGGAGTCCAAGAAAGTATAGTATCCCACTGTTTCCATTGTTTCCTCATCTATTTGCCATGAAATAAATTTTCATATTTTGTGAAATTTTCACATTTCATATTTCACTTATTTCATGAAATATTATTAATAAAACTTCAATAATCATCCATGTGCAGATTTATATGTGGACATTATTTTTCAAGTATTGATAAACACCAAGCAGCAAAGTTTCTGGATGGCAAGGAAAGAGTGTGTTTCGTTTTATAAGAAATAGCTCAACTGTCCTCCAAATTGACTGTACATACCCTGCTTTCCTTCTTCCATGTCATTTATTATATCCACAATGATGATATATTGATTTCTGTATTTACTTAATATCTATCTCCATAATTCTGCAAAGAGAGACACTATTTTTTGTTCACCATTCTACTTCAATTGGGTAGCACAGTGCCTGATAAAATCCACTCAAAAATTATTTGCTGAAAGAAAAAATGTTATTTTATAGCTGTAAGACACTATAACCTACAGGTCTCTTTGGAAGTTAGTCTGGGTATGGAATGGGTAGCATAAATCAGGAAAACACAAACTTCCACCCATCTTTCTTTCTTATCATTCCATAACCATTGGTTGTC